TTCCTAATGAGATAAACAAATTCAACCACAAATAACAAGGGAAATGAGGCTCACTGGAGACAAGAAAAAAAGTGTGTCCCAAAGAGGGAAAATTCTGCATATAAACACATAGCACAAAGCAGGTAACTTGCCACAAAAATCTTGTTGTGTTTAACTTATAGCTGAATCCGCATTTGCCATACAGTAACAGTGAATAAGGGAACAGGTTTTCAACTACATTTGCATTGAACTTGCTAGCTATTTGTCAGGAAATGTCAAAAAACATCAAATACACTCAACTTACAGAATCAGATTTCCATCTCATAAAAACTGAAATTACAGTATGTAGCAACAGGTTACTTCTTAGGCACTGGAAGTAATGCAGTTTGATTTTTCACTCATTAGTGTCCCATGATTTACTACGAGATTTTCCTCTCAGACTCCTTTCTGCATGAAGGTTCTTTTCCATCTCTAGGAAGATGGGAGTTCATATTGAAAGCCTTCCCTCCAGACATCAGGGAAGTTATAAGTCTTTTTCCTACTTACCTAATAGTTTCAGAACTCACCAGAGTTCAATTATTGTTGTGACCTCCACCTGTCTGTTAAATTGGAACAAAACTCGCTGGTTAAGAAAATACTGATAAAGAAACATAGACTAATAGGCAGAGAGACAAGCATGTTCATACGCATACAAAAATTTTCCTCAGTATATCAGGATAAAAATCAGAGCAATTAGTGGAAAAGAGTAACATAATTGTAAGAAATACACATAAGGCATTTGGGATGACAAGCAAAAACCTGAAAGCCTGAGCCCAAGTAAACATGATGCAGAGTTGGCATCTGTGTGAGACCACAGTACATTCACAGTTGCCTTTTCATTTCTGTTGCATACCCTCAGCGACCAAGAAAAAGAGATTTGGGTATGTGAGCAGTGTCTCAGTATCTGGAGAAGCAGATACTGAGAAGGTCTGGACAGCCACAAAAACTTAGCCACAGTAACTTTACAGAGTGACAGCAGAGGAAAGTGAGGGAGTGATGAGGCAAGGCAGAAGCAGCTGAGATGCCACAACCAACACAGGGTCTCTGAACTAGGGATGCTGAGGACTGGGGGGGTCTGAGCTGGGGTTCCATCCTGTCCCTGACAGAACAGTCTAACTACTATGCCATAAGCTGAGTAGTAGAAAAGCCATTTTGAAAATATTTACTTACCTGCGCTAAAAATCTAACACTAACATTTTAGGTTTCAAAAAAGCTAATTTCAAATCGCATTTAAAATTCAGAAGTTATAATAAAAGCATTTTCAGCATGCAGTATTAAAAAAGCCAAGAATCAAATTAGCTTTTTATTTACATCTGTCATGTCACTGTGGTATGCACCATCGTGGGGATGCTTCAACACTCTCACACAACTGTTGCTGAACATTATGAAAAACCACCACAACATTCCAGTGTATGTACTTTGTCCCATTGGGGAAAAATTAAATTATAGTTTCTCTGGTTCTAACTCACATCAGATTTCACTTCTTCTGTAAATGAGTAAACAAAACTATATCAGTCTTGGCTGTTACATCAGTCAGCAGCTTAGATATTTCACAAGGGCCCCATACTTATAAATGAAAGCAAAAAAAAAAAAAAAAAGCATATAAACTATCTGTCAACTCTGCTATCAAGAGAGCTAATTCAAGTTTCTCTGGTTTGGAGAGGTATTTTTATATTTCCTAACATAAATAAACAAGACAGAAGAAAACTCCAGTGCCCAGGTTTTGCATCAGGCTCTTATGACACTAGGCTATATTCATGGACACTCAGTCTCAGCTCTACACTTTCATCTATCCTGAGCGTCTATAGGAACCGTTGTTTGTAATGATCCCCTTCAAATTTGATTGATGAAAGTGCACATTTTGCAAATGACACCTCAGCCAATCTGCCCCATCTGCATGAGAGACGGCAAATGATTTCACTCTTTAGGCATTCAAAATAAAATGCACATGCGGCAAATTCCAAGCTGGCAGGAAAATCCAGTCATTAAAAAAGTGATTTGTTTTCTATATTTGCAAACACAAAGGCTCCATTTATTTCCATTGCCATAAAGAAAATGAACTGTTATATTTTTTTAAACAATCATAGCCAGCACATTTTGGAAATGTTTTCATTTCAAAAATACTAACTAGCAAATTAGAGTTTAAATAGCTTTTCTAAAGTGGTACCATTTTAGATACAGTTTTCTGATTGATGGCATCGCTTTGCCCTGCAGAAGCAGGTTTTACTGCCTTCTGTATATACTGTAGTGATGCCCGTTTGTTGCTGGAGTCACTGAATTAAAGAAGAAACCTAAACAATGTGAATTATAAATAAAATTATATTCATTAAGAAGAAGGTATATTTTACATTATGGGAGCCTGAAAAAAATCTTAATTTCTTTTAAAATTAGAAATTCGTGGTCTCTGTCCTTCAGTCTTTCCCTCTTTCTCTTCATAATGGGGGAAACAGACTAGCAAGTAAAGAAAACAGCAAACATAATTGATATAGCCCCATCCTAAAAAACCTTATAAACATGCTTAACTTTACACAGAATGAGTTGCTTAATTGAACTCACTGGGACTACTCCCAATGCAAAAATGTAAGCATGTGTGTAATTCTTTCCAGGATCAGGATATGTAAGGGTGATCTGTAATGAAAATAAAACTCCTATTTTTTTAAAACTTTCTTAATCTACATTTATTTTTGTGGCTATAGCAACATCTGGTGGACAAATAGCAAAATATAAAGCCTGTGCACTTCCATCATATGATGTACGTATTTTAAAATACAGACTGTTTTCACTTGCTTTTGTTTTTTAAAAGTTAACAAGAAAAAACAATTTAACTTAGATAATTTTTAATAACTTTAAAGTTACTATGTCTCTTATAAAATGCTTTATATTATTAACCAAAAGTGGTTAAGGCATCTTTGTTTCATAACATACCAAAATACTATCTTTTCCTCTCAGGCAAGTGCTTGCATACTTTGAAGTCATGGTGTATCAATGTATACTGTCCCGCTTTTACAAGAGTATACAAATACCCCACTAATGTTAAGGTTGCACAGTTAACCAGTGGAAAAAAATAAGATCCATCACAAATAAAGTTATAAAGTTAAAGAAAACAATGAAGAACCCCTGCAGATTTGCTCTCCACAGAATCAAAGCCTAAAAAGAACCCAAAACTCCAAACTAACCAAAACACTGAAGGGCAAGTTAGCATGCAAGGGCAGCTGAGTGATCCGCATGCTGACAGGCATTCTTTTTGCTTCACTCATTTCCTCTGAGCTTTCTTCTAATTCCTGCATAATAGCTCTCTCATTTTTCATATTCTGTTTACAAAAATGTTTGCCTTATAGGTGTATCTGTTTAGAACCAGCAAAAAAGTATTTAATGATGAGAGCTGAATACAATTATATTTGCCAAAATTGCTTGATGCTGAGGTTAGCTTTAATTAATTTCCAAAGGGCTGGAGACATGAGAATGTAGAATAAAATATTAATATACTAACATGTTTTAACAGTGAACAAGGCATTGTATCTACCACCAAAACCAAAGATGAAAACTAAGGAATAACCATTCTATTATTGGTTGTAAAATTCTACGACAGAATCAAAAGGTTTCTAGAAGAAGTCAGGCAGTAATCTCTAGAAATGTGAGAAAACAAAACACACTTGAGGGTGAAGTCAAAATCAACAGATAGATTGCTAGTAGTCTGGCTAGGTATCTCAATCTTATATTTGGAAATTCAGATCTTCTCTGGTCCTTCACATAAAGTAAGATATGTGGGACCTTCACAACCTGACTGGACACAAGGCTTTGCTAACACAATACTTCCCTGATTGCAGCCCCATGCAAAGATCAGGAGTGGCCAGCAAGCTGCCCATCATCGCCTGCAGCTTTCTGTACTATTTTTTCAGCTTTTAAGGGAAGAACTAATTGCAAGATGTAAGTTCCTGGGACTGCTGAGTCAATAAATCAAGGTCACATACTGTCTACTGCAGCAACACTCTGCTTCAAGTTATCCACTTCCCAAACACTGACCAAGGGGATGACTGTCTTTCACTGACAGACTGCAACAGATGAAGACACTAGCAGGAAAGTCACATGCCAGAGACACAAAAAAGGTACTCTGAATACACGGCAGCAGCTTGATTCAAGTGTTGCTTTTGCTGACAAGCTTGTGCAGGTCCCTCCCAACTGCCCTCTCCCTAGTGCTCCAAAATGGGGGACTTGCCCAAATCTCCTGGAAGTCCATTACTGTTGCTTTCATTTTACATGGCAGATGTAACCACTCTAGCTTCACAGATAAAAACACAGGTTTAGTCATGTTAGGCATGTAGACAGAAATTGAAAGCATTTTGGTGAGAAGTGGCAAGGTCCTGGATCCAAAGTATCTGTGGAAGATACCCAAAGTCGTCCACAAACTCCAGGGTCATTCACTGGGACGTTACACATGCAGAGTGTTATCACTCAGCCATGATTTCAGTGATTTTAAAAGCCTTGACATAACCAAGTACAAGAGTCTAATTTCTTACTTGTAGAAGGTACCTTTGAGGTGCTGAGCACTTGCAAGCATAGACAGGTAATGAAGTCAGAAACCAAATGGAAGCAATCCAATGCAAGCATCTCTGTGTACATGTAAGACAAGATTCGATAGGGATGATATTTTTCATTTGACCAGCTAATAAAAACAGCAGATAACCTTTTAGGCACAAAACCCCTTCCATTAGTGTAAAGCTGAAACAAGAAACTAGAAGACTAAACACAGATTACTGCTCTAATTGGAAGTCTAATCACACATGTACTAGTAAGGCCTTTTCACAAGGGAGTGGTACCTGTTGAAAAGGCAGTTAGTCAACTGTGTGAGAGAAAGGTGGTTATACCCTCACGGGAAAGCCTGAGATAGATTGTACCCTGCGGAATACCAAGTGGCTAACCGGATGGGGAAAACTGACATAAACCTCATTGTACCCCTAGTTTGGTGCACCTGGTTGACTTACAGGCTTCATTTTCCCCCACTTGTCTTCACAGGCTTCCCTTGAAGCTTTTGCTCCTGCATCAGCGCCGCCCGGTGCCCAGCCCGCGTGTAACGCCGCCCTCGCCGCCGCCACCACCGCTTAATCCACTCAGGCAAGGCTCGCAGGCCTCGGCAGAGGGCACAGGTCCAAGGGCTCTGCTGTGTGTCCATTAGATAAGCTTTTGAACACACGCAGGAACGCGTTGCTACTGCATGACGGGGGACACTGCAGGCTCTCCATTCCTTAGCGCCAGGGTCTGCAGTCCTGCAAAGCGCTAAAGCAGCCAGTGGAGCCCAGGCAGGCTTAGAAGGGGACGGTGCGAAGGGACATGCCCTTAAATGTAATTGTAAACTTTCCTTGGTTCACTTTTCCCCTCAAATTCAGAGCCCGCAGCCCGCTCCCTGCGCTGAAGGAAGGCGCTGCCGAAGCTGCCGTGTGCGCATGCTCGGCCAGCAGCGGCGCGAGGGCGGCGGAAGGTTGTCGCTGCGGGGCTTCCGTCCGCGCCCGCCCCGCCCCGCCCCGCCCCGCCCCGGCATGGCGGAGTATTCCTGTGTTAAATCCACCAAGCTTGTCCTCAAAGGGGCGAAAGAGAAGAGGTGAGGAGCGGGTTGTCCCCCACCGCCACCCCTCCTGCCCTAGGCTCGCTGTCCCGGTCGCCGCGGCGCCAGCTCGGCGGTGTCTGTGGCCGGGAAGCCCGGCCGGGCTCCCGCCGCTACTGTGGGGTCGCGTCGGAGGCTGGGGGGGGGGGGATGAGGCCCGGCCCGGCCCGGCCCGGCCCGGCCCGGCCCGGCCCCCCGGATGCGGGATGCCTGGGCACGGCAGGTTTCGGGCTGTCAGCCCCTCGCTGCCGGTTGGTGCCGGTGACCGGCTCCCGGAGGGACTGGGAGCGAGGCGGTGTGAGAGAGCCCGCTGTGGGACGGCCGGGCCCAGGCACGGCCTTACTTCTTTGCCTCTCCCCCTGCAGCAAGAAAAAGCACAAGGAGAAGAAGAGGAAAAGGGAAGAGGATGCTGCAGAGCAACTTGATATCGTTGGTGAGCTGCTGCCCAGGAATTAGGTGGTGACAGCGTGGGAACTGTAGGGGGTGGCAGAAGCTGAAGAGGTTGTCATAGGACTTTGTAAACTAAGTGTAATCCCTGCAAAGATTTATAACTATTTCTCGCAACGTATTATTTGTATGTTGGGATCTTCCTACACTCCAAACGGAACTTCTAACACCAATGAGATGGATTTTTCACTTATCTTTTTAGCTAAAGTATGTTCTTATATATTGTCAAGCTACATATCAGCTTGGATTTCCCAGCCCCCCACTGCCCCGTGGTATTTGCTTCAGGAGGAGAGGCTTTTTAGCACTGTAATGCTGTTATTTTATGAGTGCATTTCTGTGTAAATGACATCTTCTGTTACTTTTCTTACCAGTTCATGTTACTAGAAAAGTTTTGTTTTCTATGATGTGTATATAGTCATAAACTAAAGCAGTGCGAGGGGAAATCATCATAGTTGCTGTGTTAAAACAAATTAAGATGTGTGAGAAAAAGGGCTGTTGTGTCTTATGCTAGAATGAAGAGGGATCCGCTAGTTTAGGCGATTAACTCCATATGTTATATAAAGATAGGGGAAAATATATTTCTGTTCAAGGCAGATTGACTTGCCAGGTTTACCATTGGAAAAAAAAAAAGACATTGTTTTCAGGTTAATTAAAAATAGTTATTATCTTAACCAGGTAGAAAAATATATGTAGGACAATATAACAGGAAAAAATTTTTCTGTTTTAAAAATATAAAAGTTATCATTCTAATACATGCGTGTAGGTAGGGCTACCTTTAACTTTAGTAGAATTCTGTGAGGTGCAAACATTCAAACACAGATTGGCTTAACAACTGAAGTCTTAAGGATTACAGCTTACATGAAGTAAATTAACAGCAGTATGAGATAGTTTATCAGTTTATGTCCTGTTGGAAAATCTAACAATTGGATATGACCTCAAAACCGCAGGAGGCCTGGTCCAGGTCAAAAAAAAAAAAAAAAACAAAACAAAAACAAACAAAAAAACCCCCCACACCTTCCTTGCAAGGTGTATCTTTGCTGCATCAGCTGAATGGATCAATGTACTCAGTGGACTAATACAAAGAAGTGCAGGAGCCTGTAACTAGGGATGGCAGATTGGGTGGAACAGCAGGACTTCCTGATTCAGTAGCAACACCATTTAATTGGCTCTGTACTATGAAATAATGCACAAAAATCTTGAGATAGCAATGGCAATTGTATCTTTAGATTTTCAAATCTCAGAAAAGACATAGAAATATCATCTCTTCAACTACCGTAATCAGAAGTTGTAATTAGTCTATTAACTGTCATGGCTTTGTATTTTAGGAAACTGGTGGGCTATCAGTAATTTCGGTGAAATTACAGGAACTATAGCTATAGAAATGGATAAAGGAGCTTACATCCATGCCCTCGACAATGGCTTGTTTACTCTTGGAGCACCACATAAAGGTTTGTTTCAGGAATTTTGGAAATAAGCAGTTTTAGTAATGAAAGGCATAAAAGTAACATTGTGTAAAGGCAAGCAGTTTTACAGCTAAAAGCAGTTTATTTTAAATAATGCAATAATCCTAGCCATAGCTTGCAGATGACTTAAATCTAATGACTACCAATCAGTTTCACTTACCTAGTTTCTCACTGGTTTATGCTTACAATAAATTGAAATGCATTGGAGACTATCACCTGTTAAAAGCCATACCACTTACTGAATAAAAAGCAGTATAACTGTTATTAAGACCTATAAAATCTTTATGGTGTCTATTGAAAAGTGAAACTCAAGGCAGATGCGTTTCAAGTCTTATTGCTGCATCCTTATCTTCATATACTTGTTTTGTTGCTGCACAAGCGGGCTACTGACGTGGTGGGATAATTAGCTTGTCCTTACCTTGAATTTGAGAGCCATAAGACAGACTAGGACTGTTGCAGAACCCTGTCAGTGTGTTTCACCTCCAGGGTGAGGTCAAAGCAACAATGGAAATATTATCTCATTTTGGTTTTGACAGATGGAAAAGCTAGTAGCTTTTTAGGATACTGAATTGTGTTCCCATAGCTGAACCATAATACATTCTGTTATGGAAAAAAATAACATTACAAGGACATTTAAGGTTTTGAAAGCCACCTGGAGAATTAAAAAACGTTTTCAATCCTTGTATAAATAAATTTATAGTTGTCTTTATTTTGTGCCTTAAGCACTCTAAAGATTTCAGTGTAAACGAGCACCTGCATTGTTTTTTTTAAAAGCATATATTCAAAAAATGAATTTTTAGATAAATAAAGTATTGCAACTTTCTATAGAATTTATCAATGGCCTGTGGTTTTTGAAACTGTAGTATTAACAGGCTAAAATATTGTATGTTTAATATGTCATACCTAACCAATGGAAAATTCATTCCTCAGATGATGAAGGCCCTAGTCCTCCTGAACAGTTTACAGCAGTAAAGTTGTCTGATACAAGGTAATTACTGTAACAGTGTTACAATTTTTCATACTTGCTACTTTTGTTGCTAGTGTGAAAACATGTTTTGATATTCTCTTGAAACACATTGTCTACTAATAATGTGTTTGTGATGTGTTGGATATTGTGAATTGCTTGAATTAAAAACATTCTTTTATTGTTTTCCTGCATGTTCTTATTGAGGATTGCTCTGAAATCTGGCTATGGCAAATACCTTGGCATAAATTCAGATGGACTTGTTGTTGGACGTTCAGATGCAATAGGATCAAGAGAGCAATGGGAACCTGTCTTCCAAGATGTAAGCTGTTTGGAATAGTCCATTTGATGTTCTCAGCATTTGACTGTATTTTGAGTTAATCTATATTGGTGTTCTTTGTGGAGTAAAAGCCTTTTGCTGTCTCTTCCATACTGTAACTTTTAATCTTCTGTTTTCCCAACTGCAATGCTTTTACTATAACTGGAAGTTCTTAAAATGCTTCAAGTTACTGCATTTTGGCAGCTACAAGCATCTTAAGAATGAAGGAGCCAGCAAGTCTGCTGGCTAGCTATTGACGTGTCTATATATAAAAGAATAAAATGCATTTACAGAGTTTTTTGGTGTATTGTAGAGAATAAATGTTATGAATTGAGGATATATATAAACTCTTTATACTAACAATATGTGATACTATTTCTGCAGAAGAAAATGGCATTGCTAGCAGCAAATAGCCGTTTTATTCGATGTAATGAAGAGGGAGACATCGAAGCCAAAAGCAAAACTGCAGGCGAAGAAGAAATGATAAAGGTAATCTATAACTCTTACAATTAATACAGTGTTGGCACAGGTATTCAAAGAACCAGGTGTCTGTGTGCTACAATTTATTGTTAATACAATTATAATAGCTTTCTATAAGCTATCAGGTGATTTGGCCACAAGAAATGTAAATGAACTCTAGGGCTGCATAAACTGAGATGCTTCCAGTAGAGACAGGAAGATATTTTACCACTACAGAAGGGCAAGATGTTGGAGGGGAAGACAGTCTCTGTGATATTCCAGATAGCTCTTCTGCACCAAGCTGTTCAGAACTGAACCATGACTGAAGCAGGGACAGAGAAGAGTTTACCAGAATGATGCAGGAGGGGAGATCTTTTAAGTAAGAGAACGTAAAAAGGTTAACTTGACTTTGTCTGGACATGGAAAATACATGTGTGCCTCCAAATTGAGATAGGTGTCTACTAGTCAGAGCAATAGTATTTTTAAGTCAATCGATTAAAAAGGCATTTTACCCATGCTAAAACTAAGAACTGTAATGGTGCTTCTTTGAGATGAAGGTGATTATGTCTTAGTATCAAGGATTACACTTAATATTTCCCATACTTCAAGCAGCTTTTGCTTTTATTACAGTTGTCTCCAGCTGCAAATTAACCAATTTGAAAGCTGTGAATTTAAAAAGACACTGTGACTCTCATTCTTTTATGAAGGATATGTTGTAGTCTTTAAAGTGTAACTTCTTGTTTTAAGAATATAGACGTTTTCTTGTATTTGGTTTTTTTTTCTCTCAATGACTAGATTCGTACTTGTGCTGAAAGAGAAGCTAAGAAGAAAGATGATGTTCCACAAGAAGACAAAGGAAATGTTAAACAGTGTGAAATCAATTATGTGTATGTAGTTCACAGCTGTTAACAGGCTCAAGTAACTTTTTTCACTTCTCTTTGGGGCTGCCTTTGGAAGGGCCAAACTCCCACCAAGCTTTTCACTCACTTTCCCCTCAGCAGAAGGAGGGAAGAAAATAGGATGAGAACTCATGGATTGAGCTAAAGACAAGAAGATTGCATATCAGTTGCCACCACAGGCAAAACAGACTCAACTTGTGGAAAGTTAATTAAATTTATTGCCCATTAAAGTAGACTTGGGTAGTGAGAAACAAAGACAGAAATTGAAAACAATACCTTTCCTTCCCCCATCTCACAAGCTCAATTTCACTCCAGAATCTTCTACCTGTTCTCCCAAGGAAGATGGGGGGTATGGGTCAATACATAGTGTGTTTTTCTCTGCCACTCCTTTCCTCTCCCCGTTTTTCCCTGCTCTGGCATGGTCTCTCCGTGGGCTGGAAGGGAATATCAGCTACAGTGCCTGTAGGACCTCTTCCCTCTCCTTCTCTGTTGATGTTCACGCTGCCATTTTTCACTTTTTTTTTTTTCCCCTCTTCTCTGTTGGTGTGGTGCTTTGCCCTTTCTTAAATATGTTTTCACAGAGGTGCCACCAGCTTTGCTGAGGGACTTGGCTGTGTCCTGCGGTGGGTCAGTTGTGGAGCCAGCTACATCTGGCACAAGGCAGCCCCTGGCCTCTTCTCACAGAGCCCACCTCTGCAGCTCCTCCACTACCAGCACCTTGTCACCTACACCCAGTAGTCTCCAATAGTCTTTTGTTCCCTGACTTGTCATGCTAGTAGCTGAAGAAGTTTAGAACTTGTAACCACATCATGCTAATCATGCAGGGGCTCATTTCCACTTAGACTGCCAAAAAAGACTGAAATAGTTTTCACCTACAGAAGTCTTAGTGCAACATTTGATACTGTGATGGTTTTCTGGATTTTTATTCGGCCAGTTGTCTACTGCATAATAGAAGTTAAGATTCTTATCACAGCTGTTGTATTATTGAAACACAAAACTTTAAAGAAGTTACACTTTTTTACATTATTTTCCTTCCCTTACAGAAAGAAATTCCAAAGTTTTCAAGACAAAAAGCTTAAAATAAGCAAAGAAGATACAAAAGCCCTTAGAAAAGCCAGGAAAGAAGGCACTTTTCATGAAATGCTGCTTGACAGGTATGTCAAAGTACAAGAAATAATGTCCTGATTTAAAAACTACTGGGAGATAGAATTACAGTAAACCTGGGGTACAGAAGAGAGCTAGAAGAGACCCACAGGAGGCGTTAGTGTTGAGCATTTCTTCTCTGGCCAGTGTTCTACCAGAGTTCTGGGCTTGGCTTTTTTTTGTTCTGAATTTACACTTCTTTAGCTGAAATTTGCAGGTTTAGACTTACCCAGAAATTAAATGTTTTCAAAATATTTGACTAGGTGGTTCAGTTTGCTTAGTACAGAGGAGTTAAAGGATGAATCTTTTTCGTTACAAAAATTAAGCTAATTTTTAACATTTTCAGTACTTACGGCACCAGAACATTTTGGAGAGGAGAAAGCTGCATTTTAAAGAGAAATAACATTTATTAAGAACAGTGCTCATGTTATCTAGTGGGAATACATTTATTTTTTCCCCCCTGAGCTGAGACTATAGAAACTGTCTTGAATTTTTAAAATATTTTGTATTGTATACAGTATAAATATTGGCATTAATTCATCGGGTGGAATGCAGAAGACTATTTCTGATAATTGCAAGTGATGTGAGAATGCTCCTGGGCTGTCACAGGTTGAGTGTCACTTTCAAATCACACTGAAACTGAATTCCATTCCTCAGAGTGGACAAAATGCAATTCATGAGTATTTGAAGGGAAAGAAAAGGTTAACTTTAGACACTGTGGTTCTAGCTCTGTAAGAAAACAAAATTAATTAACAAATCCAAAGTGTTGTTTGGCTTTTGTATGTGCTTTGAAGTAAAGTTCAAGAAAAATTGCTTTCAATGTTTCCTTAACACTTTGAGGCAGATAAAACTTGCAGATGTAATTATATTTGGTCTTAAACTTGTTTCATTACTCTTTCCATACAGGAGAGCAAAAGTGAAAGCAGATAGATACTGCAAGTGACAACCAGCTGTTTCATTTTCTTCATCTTTGATAGGGTCAAATTGAAAACAAGTGTAAAATGTTTTATAAATATTTTTTATTGAAGGTGTTTTGCTGATGTTTTTATTATGTTATTTTTAAAGGATTGCCTAAGAGCTGTAATTAAGCATCAAACTAATGTCATCTTTCAGTAATGAATACTATTAAGTTTACTCTAGAACTACATCATATTGAAATAGCGAGATAATTATTTCAGGGAAAAGAAATTGGCCCACTGAATCTTCAAAGGCTGATGGAAGGAACCTGATTTTAGAGCAGAAGAGAATGATGAAGAAGTTCAAAAGTAAAATATGTCAACACCTTGAACCATTAATAAGTCTGTAACTTTACTGAACAAGAAGAAGTAATTGAAAATGTGTGTCTTGGAACACATCCTACCAAATCCTGAATAGGAGATCTGTGGAACCATTCAACACTGTATCAGGTGAGGACTGGGCCAGAATATTGAGGCTTCATAAAAGAATGTTCAAAACAGACCCACTGCTCAGGTTGATAAATGGCATAATCCATATGCTGGAAGAATTGTTGAAGTCATAAGAAGCCTATTACAAATGAAAATGCAGGTGCTTCGTAAGAAAAGTTAGATGGCTCTTGTGTTAGCAGGCCACTTATTTTGCAAGAGGGAAAAACTGATTTTGCAAACTTGCTCATGTCTTTATGGCATGGACTTTAATAAAACAGCTGGGATTTTTTCTTTTAAGGTCATAGTATAATATTCATTCCCAATATCTCATATAAAATATGGTTATCCCTGTCTGCTCTGATTACCGAGAAGCTTTTCAGTATTAACACTTCCATAGAAACTACCTCAATCAGAAAAATTGCCTTTCTCCACAGCTTCTGTAATCTGTGTCATAAAGATCACTTGGTAACAATGTTGATTTTTATGGTAATAATTTGAATTGTCTCCATGGAGCATCTCCTAGTTGTCAAGTTGAAATGTACACATAGTACAAAATCATAGGCTTATGCAAGATAATGATGTGTCTAAAAAGAGCACAAGAACAGATCAATAAAGTCTAGTCATTAATGGCAATTTAAATAGGTCTAATTTCATAGGCAGTTGATCTTGAGGAAGAAGCACAAAGAATTTAAGTACGTAGTAATTGTTTAAGCCCTCTGGTGACTTTTCAGTATGAAAAGTAGTTATAGCTGGTTGGGGAAGGCTGGCTGAGGTTAGTAGTAAAGCATTTATTTTTTCAAAGAATGTAGAAATATAAGGACATGGCCCATACAGATTTTATGGAACCAAAAGAAGAAAAACTCCACAGGCTGGGCACATTCATGATGTAACTAACACAGGGATTCTTAGAAACTCCTTTGTTTCTAGAAAAGCAGACAAAGATCCAAACCTTTCTGTGATAGCATTTTTAGGCTTTCTACACCCAGCTCTATCCAGCTCAGTACAGAGATTTTTGCCACGGGGCTTTTCCTTCTAAGGTAGAAAAACTTACTAGTTTTATACCTGTTAAGCTTAATATTCATTTAATAGCTATTTCACAAGAATAGACATACTCACCAGTTCCTTGTATGAATAGCTATTTTGGAGTGAGTGCCTTTTCTTCCCACTTCAGCTTTTTCTGCTAAGACTGATACTAATTGAGAAATCAAAATTCCCCCTCTGGGGAGTGGTTTGTACAACTGTATTGGGATAGTTATGCTTGTAACCTTCTGTGGACAAATCTGTGGGACCTTCCTGTTATTCCAGCTGTTACTTAAGATCTGTATTAATGCTGATAGAAGTTACACCAGAATGCAGAGAAATAAAATAAAAGTAAGGTCTATGCTGAATGAAAAAAATCACTAAAATTAAATTGAGAAATTTCCCCTCCATTTTTAGAGATACAAAAGGCCCCTCTGTAGCTGGTTTGTTGGTTTAGGGTTTTTTTTTGTGGTTTTTTTTGTTTGTTTGTTTTGGGGTTTTTTTTTAAACTTAAGTGATCTTATTAAATGAGAATTGTCTTTTCCCCCATATCTATCACTTACCTAATTAATGTATTTCAGGACATACTGTTAACAAAAATGTAATAATATAAGATGGTCACATAAACTGATCAAATGCTCAACCTTTTTACCAGTACCAAATTCAATAGCTTCATTTTAAAGTGTTCATAGATTTTATTTCTAGTTCTGGTACAAAGCTTTGGGTTTACTCTTTAAGCTTAACACATAGCACAAATGACTGAAAATTATTTCCTATCACTTTCTATTAACTATACATTCTTTCAGAGCAAGCAGTTGTTGGGAATATCAACATGTTTGTGGTGAGACTGCATTAAAACATTTGCAAAAAGAAACTGATATTAGCAGAACTGATCTTTGTTTCTAATTTAAGTATCTCCAGAATTATATTAAAATTCCCTCATATATCTTTTAACCCAGTTATAAAATCTTAACTATATCATTTGTGAATATTTGGCTTGCATTAAGGGAGTAGCTCCAAGAAAAATTGAAGATGTACCTATACTACTGGTAAGCTATTTGCAATGTAGCTTAAGCCCTGGGAGACAGACTGTACAATGATGTAGTCCAGAGAAAAAGCTCCCTTGCTTTTAGTGGTCTTGAGAGAATAGCTGGCTTTTCCAGAGAACTCTGTGTATAACCTCATTGCTCTCAAATAAAAAAAGACATCCTATTGATCAAAGAGAACCAATATGCAGGCATAGCATGTGGCTAGCTTTTTACCAATGGCAGAAATGGTCATGCAGATGAAACATTGCATAATATAGCTTAGAGGCTTTTGGATCACAGTGTGTGTCCGTATGCTCTGTGACTCAATTTTTGTAAAAAAGATGGTTGTGCTGCCCTTTCCACAGTGAATAAAGGCCATATTTTGAGTTCCTTTATTGTTGAAAAATATTCATTGTGCATGTCCAGAAGGTCTGACAGAAGTGTGAGCGCTGAATTTGCGGGGAGGTCAAAAGCTAGAAATAAATAGATGATTGTTGGCAAATGCTCCTGACCAGAGTCTAAGGAATTCTTGGATGAAAATGCAGCATAGCTTTGGGTTGTACAATAACAGAAAAAAATGTAATTCATTTTTCCCCAGAGCTCCTCAGTTTGATCTAGGACTGGGGATTAGGGCTCATTAAGTAGTTCTGGTTGTAGGTAGCGCACTACATATCCCTCACCAGAAATGTAAGTAACCTGCTGTACAACCATTGCAACAACATGGACCTGGAAGTGGCCTACTGCCAAAACTGGGAAAGGGGCAGCACCACAAAGAGCAGGCTGTGGGCCAGAGTAATTATTTATTGGGCAGTTCACTGCAGGTGTCAGGGATCCAGTCACGGTGATTCTTCAACACATCTGAAGTGAATGCTGATGGTTGAAGTAGACCGATGCTACAGCATCTGTTTTTCCTTTTGAGAATATATTGTTTAAATAAAATCATGTCTGGTAGAACTCAAAAATGATTACTCAAACACAGATGCAGCTGGAAGCAGAAATCTGCTATGCTGATGGAAAGGGTGCTGAAAGTTGTACTCAGAATCTGAAGAGCCTGACAATCGCCTGTGAAAAGGAGTTTTCCGTTTCGTATTTATCAATGTAAGTAGGAGAATGCAAGGGGTAAGTGCTTTAAGAAGTCATAAGTGATAGTAGAGATAAAATGGAGCTAGGAGGCATGTTTGTTACAGAGCTAGGAACAAGTGAAGCCAAAAGAAATGTCACAGCACGTGAAATGAGACCGTCACAAGTAGAAGTACTGGATTTGGCAAGAGACTGGCAGCTCTGCAGGGAGGAAGGATATTGTAGTAGCAGTGCGGTTGCCATCTCTGTTGGGACTAATGATACCCTAGATTCTTGCTAAAAGATGTGTCTTGAAACAACACAGAAGCAGAGGTCCAGGGAATTCACAGGAATTTTAGTTTCAGGAAGAGGAAATCAAAGCTATGACAAAACAGTTAGGATCAGTACGTGTATTAAACTGTTACTATAAGGAGTCTATTGGGATATTTTCCCATTGGAGGTATTCATGGAGTCTTCCTGGTGATACTATGTCCTGGCAGGAGTGTTAGCACAAAGAGTTTTAATTTAACTGAACCAGAGAGAAAAAGGGAAGTAATTTGTGCAGCCTCTACTTATGAAGGAAGAAACAGATCTAGGGAATGGTAATACAGTGCTGGATAGATGAGTATGAGAAAACAGAAGGGTGAACGTTAAGTACTAGATATCAGTGACAGCAGCTGTCAGTACAGTTAACAAGTAAACTGCACATCTTAAGAAGCTTTTTTCTTCTGACTTGACTTAGATTTTTGAAAACTGACAGAAGAAACATAGACAACAAAATGGAAGACCTAAAGTACCGATTGTGGACCCTGGAGACATGATCTGATAGGAACACAGCAGAACAGCGATATTCAGAAAAACATAGGTTTTGGAGGATGTTAATTATTCCTTAAACTGAGAATTTCTTTACTGGTAAAAAAAAACTAAACCAGAAGTAAAAAGAGGCTTCAAAAAAGTTGTGAATGTGTAATGTGACAATGGCATAATTTTGTCTTCAGAGCATTCAGAAGGAGGTTTTAATTTTCCAAAGTTGTCATTTATTTTCTACTGTTAAAAATGTCCTAAACATATTAAAGCATCTAGATAAAGATAGTAAACCACCTAAAAGCTGTCTCCTCCAGAAATAAAAGCTGGGCAAAAGGGGCTGCAGACATTTAGAAAATAACAGGACCAACTTAATCTGACTATTTCTTATTGTAGACCATAATAGTATATGCAGATACCTACAAGTACACACAGAATTACTGTCTTACAGGTATTTGCGCACTATAGAAACTATTTAGTATTTGTGAAAGACACACATGAAAATCTTGAGGTTTCTTCTGTTACACTGTAATTTTGCTCATTTCCTAAATCCCCTGATTGGTTCTATATCTTCTTCCACCAGTGCTTAGCACTTTTCTGCCTTGGTCTCTAAAGCTCTGTGCAATTCCAGATTTATATTCTGACTGATTCCTTCCTACACACCGCTGCAAGCCCTCCCTTTGCCCAAGGCTTTCACACTTTACAATGCATTTCTTTCATCCTTTCCCGTTTCTTAATTTCTGCAATGCCATACAGCTTTTCAGTTGACAATCTGCCAAGGACTTCTCTTCTTGTCACCCCCGGTTTGTTTTATAAGAGTTAATTGCACAGCCAATTAAGTTGTGATATTAAAGACTGTATTGCTTCTTTTCTGTGTGCCTAAAAACACATGACACATCTCAGGCACCGCATAAAATACAAGACAAAACACAGGCATCCTAGAAGATTTTTAATATTTATTTGTGGTGCTTCCAACAACTGTTGCTAACATATACACTCATTATACGTTCTTGTTCGCACTAAAATTACACCTTTTTATTGTAAGCTATTTGGAGTATGCACCATATTCTGATGATGGCTTGTATTTGATATTACAACAAATATACCATTTATGTAGATTAGTGAATAAATAATAGGCAACATGCTTAGATGGATGCATCTCATACCCTGTATTTCTCATTAGACTGTCACTCCAGTCACCCAATTCCCCCACTCTTAAGGAGGCAAGATGGGGAAAACTCCTTTTTCCTAAAGAAGGCGCCTGCCTTGCATCTCCCATTACCATAAAACCTGCCTAAAATCCCCCCAGGACACAGACTAATTAAAAATGACAATATTGACCAAGGGAAAACTGGTGCCACGGGTTTCCTCATAGCATTGCCTAAGAGAGGCGGTTACGATTTCAGATTTTCTTGCGCAGAACTTAGCTTTTTTGGGAAGTATGACTGAAAAAAAAAAAAAAATAAAAATCAAAATCAATTCCTCTGCTTTGTTAAAAATAAAAAGGAGGGCCGGGGCCGGTGAGGCGGCAGGAGGGCCTCTCCCGCCTTTTCGCCGCCTTCCTCCCCTGACAGGCGGGGCGGGGCGGGGCGGTGTCAGGCGGGCCGCCGCTGCGGGAAACGCCGGGCCGAGCCGAGCCGGGAAGGACGATGGCGGGCCGGGGCCGGGCCCGGGCTCTGCTGCCGCCCGCCGCCCTGCTTGTCCTGACGCAGCTCGTCTGGGCGCCGGACCCGGTGAGGCGGGCGGGCGGGCGGGAGGGGAGGGGAGGCCGCGGATCGGATCGCCCCCGGCCGGGTGAGGGGCCGGCGGCCGCGCCCCGGGTGTCTGTGAGGGGAGCCGGCCGCTCTGCCGCTCACCCCCACGCAGCGGGGGCCCGCGTGCCTCTACGTTCACGCGTGTGGATTTAAGGCAGCGTCTCGCTGCCCTCACGGACTTGGTAACTTTTAAATGGCTCCTCCGGCAGCCGGCGCGGCCGTGGCGGCGCTTGCAGGTGTTGGTGTTTATCGGGTGTGTTTTACAAGTCCTTGCTCGTGCCTGCGTTCGATTTCGTATGCGTTTATAATGCAAGTATTGTAACGTTACACCAAAACAATGATTTTCAAAAGGAAAATTGAGAAGGACTTACTAAAAGTACATGCATTTTTTAATCTCCTTAGTGTATTTGCTGTAGCATCACCCAAGGGGAGAAGTGTAGAGCAGGTGGGCTTGGGGTGTTATTAAAAAAATTTTTTTTAACTTATTAGGTTAAGTATTTAACTTTTGGTGGAATTGTGAAGTCGGGGTGGGGTGGTGGAATTATTTGGAACAGGCTGGCTTCCATCTCCTGGCTATGCAAACAGCTGTTCCTGCTTCCTGATTAATTTTTTTGTTCCTGAAGCAGTGAAGCACTCTTTCAGTTTCTGAATCTCCTCATCCTCTGTGGAAAGGACAGGTTTTTAAATATCTCAGTATTTCAAAATATTCTTTGGCAATATGTTTTTAAAGATTTTAGGAACATACTACTTGTTATATTCTTTCATGTTTGCTCTAAGACTTTTCCTAGCAAATTATTTTGATTTCAGGAAAAGGAGTGTGGGTTTTGGGAGAGAGGAGAGCTGCAGGAAAGTCTTCAGAGGGCTGTGGACATCTGGATGACCCATGTTCCCTTAGCATCCTGTCTGCACAGAATTAGGCCCTCTTCTCTGCACCCAATCCCCCCCCCCAAGAGCAGCTTTCCAATACTGTAAACCAGCTCTGGCTTAAAACACTTTCAGAATTTTAGCCAAAAGCTTCCTGGGGTGTGGAGTGGGGGAGAAAGTGCCAGCAATCATCAGAGTCTATCATTAGAGCTTGATTTTGCATCTGATTGCACTTGGTACATCTTCGCATTTGCACGATATCCACTGGGGGTCCAGGTTGCAGGTTGTGCTGCTGTGCAGCCAGGTACCAGGCTTGGATATTTTGTTTTCAGCTGAGATGCTGGGATGCGTCATTTGCTGAAGAATGAACGATGATTGTTGTCTTCCCATATACAGCTGGTTTGGTTCTTTTTGTTAACAAAGAACATGGAAGCTAAGTGCCATGAATTACATCTCAGTGGTGCAGCCTGCCAGTTCCTTTAGCTTTCAGTTAGTCCCCTTCAACCATACTGAACTTTAATTTGGCTTGGCTGCCATTTCATTGGTGCTGCAAGAGCACTCCTAACTTCCCTGTTCAGAAAAGTGAACAGCGTTAGGACCGCTGCAGCATGCCGGAGTGCTGCGTTGGTATCATCCCGTAGGGAAGAAGAATGCCTTGGACCACAGAGTTCATAGACCAGAAGATGCTGAATATAATGGATTACTTTGTCTGAAAGGGATTGAATGCCATGTCCTTAAACTATGGAATCGTATTTCGTAGCTCAAAGAGGTCATTTGATATTTATTTTTAAATATGAAGATGAGAAACTGAATATTAAGGAAGGATGCCAAAGATGGTCCACCTCAAAAATATCTCTGAGGGTGATAAAGAAAGTGCTGTCATTCTTTAGACTGAACAAGCTACATTTAGCCTA